AATTGGACTCATGATTTCAAAGCAAGTAGAGACTGTGTGATAATCACTCTGGGGAAGAAAGCCAGCAGAGGAAGTGTTGAAATGCCATCCTACACAAAACAGAAGCAGGAAGCAGGTGTTGCTTTTAGTCAAGAAGTATTAATTGAATTGTTGTTGCCCTATCCTTCTGGAATTCACCATGAGTGTACATATGTGTCCAGGTTCTCAGTGTCCTCTAACCTGCCAGTTTGGCCCTGCCTGTTAATTCTGTTCTCCTCATAAGTAGCACAAAACAGCAGGTAGTAAGGAGGAGTCAGTTCACAGTAGGAGGCTGGTGGAATCATGGGAACTACAAACTTTTGAGGCTCAGTTGCCTTCAATACAATACAGTGGTACTTGGGTTACATACGCTTCAGGTTACATATGCTTCAGGAGACTTAAGTATGTTGGTTATATGAGACTGATTATCTCACAGCCTGTTTCATGACTCTGATGCACAATTTGCATGCATGATTTATTCCTGTTCTGTAAGACAATAAATTTGCATGCACAGATCTAACACCAGTACTTACATACACCATTTGATGGATGGGCACTGATGTTGTAAATTTTCCAATGGATTTAAAAAAACAAAAAACCACATATTAATGTAGGTCAGTATCACCTGTAAAGAGAAAATGAACTTTCAGCTGTTGACTGGATACGGGAGTACATGGCAGGGTTCCCCAAACCCGAATTCAGCACCCTAGGCACAGTTCAGCCATGGATCTGACAGGGTCTCTGTTGTGAACTATATTAAACTGACAGGAATTTCAGGGACAGGGATTAATTTCATGTTCCTTTCAGATTCTGATATGATAATTTGGAAAATGATTAAACCAGAAATGTTCAAATTGAACCAACTTGTTTGTATGAACAGTATATTTATTAAGCATATGTTTGAAGAAGAATCATAATAATAGGATTTTTGAATTGTAATATTTTTATTTTTTTCTGTACTTTTATATACTTTTAGAAACTTTGGTACTCTCTGATACACATTTGTACACCTGCACAAAAAGTTCATTTTCTCTTTATAAGTGATACTGACCTGCATTAATATGTTTTTTTTAAAAAAAAAATCCATAGGAAACTTTACAACATCAGTGCCCATCCATCAAATGTTGCATGCAATCTTTATAGCAATTTTTTTTTTAAAGAGAAGTAATAAATAAACTCATTACATAAATTTAAATCCAGCCCTGTTTCCAGCCATCTGGCTAGATAGAGACCTTACCTACTGCCTCTTGCAACAGAAGGAAGAGGATGGCGAGAAGTGTTCCATCTGTAGTTCAAATTAGATATCAGATCCACTTCTGAGCAAGGCAATAGTTTCTGGAATTGACACCCAAAGTCTGACATCATAGCCCTTGCATTTTAGAAGGGTTACATTGCATTAATCCCTGTCACTATTCAGTGAATAGCAATCACTGAATATTACAGTATCTTATTCAAACCTTAGACTAGGCTTTGGAAAAGCCATTCTACATGGCTACATTACCAAGCAGCCTTAAAGAAGTATAGAAATTTTATGAAATAAATAAATACATGTACATCTTGTTTCATGATCATATATGTTGTCAGAAGTCCACATATATTGACTACATGTTGCATTCCCGCTTCTGGCAACTTCCAGTGTTGTTTCTGGGAATGAATGTCTCACCCCAACACTGTCAGCCTCTGTCTTTTCAGTGCTATATGACCTAACCCAACAGGCATGTGCATATTTTGCAAATTCATACTGAAAGCATCATAATTCACTGAAGTTCCCCATTGTGTGTGTGTGTGTGTGTGTGTGTGTGTGTGTGTGTGTGTTGTATTTCTGCCAAAAGAAGAGTTTTAATAATCTCCACATGTTAAGCAACTACAAACTACCACCTTTCTATTTATAACTCTTATTTTCTTCAGTTTGAGAACAAGGTTTCCGTATGTATTATTACCCTGGCTGAGTCATAAGCCTTGATTAGAGTTGATGAATTATGAAGCTAATCAGTTTCTTGGTTCTGGGAGTGACATTTCCAGGCAATAAGGCTGTAGTACAATCAAGCAAACCAACTTAATACATAGACTTGTTGGGTGAATCTGGAATCATCGCAGCACTATAGTGGCACCTTCCCCATATTGCCCTTGTTAGCAGCAAATAGTAACTAAAGTCAATGTAACTGACAACAGGAGGGGAGCCACTTTCCATGTTTGTCTGGTTTTCTGGCTGGACTTGTTAAATTATACTCTAGGCTCATTGTGATTTAAATGGAAAAAGTTGTATTGATTTTCTTAAAACTGTCTGAGAAGAAAAAGAGCATCCCTGTGTCTTATACAGCTTCCTATCAAGGATTTTGAATTATGGTGCTGGAGGAGACTCTGAGAGTCCCATGGACTGCAAGAAGATCAAACGTATGCATTCTTAAGGAAATCAGCTCTGAGTGCTCACTGGAAGGACAGATCATGAAGCTGAGGCTCCAATACTTTGGCCACCTCATGAGAAGAGAAGACTCCTTGGAAAAGACCCTGATGCTGGGAAACATGGAGGGCAAAAGGTGAAGGGGACAACAGAGGACGAGATGTTGGATAGTGTTCTCGAAGCTACCAGCATGACTTTGACCAAACTGCGGGAGGCAGTGGAAGACAGAAGTGCCTGGCGTGCTCTGGTCCATGGGGTCACGAAGAGTCGGACACAACTAAACGACTAAACAACAGCAACAACAATCAAGGATACCTGGAAATGCAGACTGCATTCGGTGAATGTTCTCCATGAAAAGTGCCTATGTTCAATTTGCAGCATGGCACCCAACCTGTTTGAAGATCATTGAAAGGGGAAGGAGAGCGCACGCAAGTTAACGACGTATTTTAAACTTAAATTGCAAGCTTTCAAAGGTTTTAATGTTTAAATTGAGAACAGAAAATATTAATAAAATGCTGAGCAAGTTTACAGCTAGAAAAAAGAAGAAGCTGAGGCTGCTGAGAAGGCTGGATACTATCTCAGATGTGAGTCTTGTGGCAGGGTAGGGGGTCCTGCTCCCTGCCTGACAGGCCTCTTCCACCTGGCCTAGTAGGGCGGGGCCCTGACTAACTGCAGCTACGAAAGTTACTGCAGCTGAACACACATTTGAATTGCAGTATTGTTTAGCTGGTTTCGGTTTCGTTATGATTGACCCCATTGTCTAAAATGCTTTAAATTATTTTAAACGGTTTTTACAGGGTTTTTGTGGGTTTTTGTGGGATATGCCTGGGAAGAGAGGGGCTGGGGAGAGCAGGAGGGCCCAGTCACAATGGTTCAGGGTGTGGGGCAGTGGGGCAGGCTGGGTAAGGGGCACACAGAGCAGGCAGTGAGTGACTGTGCTATGTGCCAGACCCTCCTCCAACCTGGGGAACTGTGGTTGTCATATCAGTCAGCCTTCGGGTTTGCAGCTGCTGTTGTTGAATGCCAGGTCTGCTCGGAGTAATACCATATTGGTCCGAATATAAGCCGCACCCACAAATAAGCCGCACCTTTAGAATTCGGGGGGGGAGGGGGGGAGAGAAAGAAAAGACAATCATCATCAACATCATTTGAAACTATGCTCAAGGCGGCTTACAACATGACAAGATTGACATAATGACAAACATAACAGAAGTCATAAGCAATAAATAAAACACATCAAAAAGTACACAACCAAATGGAAACAATTTCCACGTAAATCGTAAGATCTAAAACTAGAGACACAACAATAATATCAAGAACAGCAACAAGCTCTCTCAACCCCCCATAGAAAATACTCCAGTCCAAGAATCTGTTCGACAGCCTCAGTTTTTGTGGCTGGAGTCAGTCAGCACTCCGCTCTCCCAGGCCAGATGGGAAAGGGCCAGCAAGGCAGGGTGCAGGTCTTCCAAGGCTCACAGCCAAGATGGTCTCATTTAAAACAACACAGATAAAAATCAAAAGCAATTTAAAAGAGGAGCCCTTTCTGCTGAGCAGCAGCCACGGTCCTTGGACCCTCGTACCTACGGGACCGCCTCTCCCGGTATGCCCCACGGAGAGCCTCAAGGTCCATAAATAACAACACCCTAGTGGTCCCAGGCCCTAAGGAAGTTAGATTGGCTTCAACCAGAGCCAGGGCCTTTTCAACTCTGGCTCCGGCCTGGTGGAACGCTCTGCCTCATGAGACCAGGGCCCTGCAGGATCTGATTTCTTTCTGCAGGGCCTGTAAGACAGAGTTGTTCCGCCTGGCCTTTGGCTTGGAGCCAATTTGATTCCCTCCCTCCCTCTCTTTCTTTTCTCTTTTCCTTCTCCTCCTGCAATGAGGCTACATTTTAATATTTTAATGTTCCATTATTTTAATGTTTATTTTATTTTTGTTTTTAAGTTGTAATCATTCTTCTTGTTTTTATTATTGCTTGTAAGCCGCTCTGAGCCCGGCCTTGGCTGGGGAGGGCGGGGTATAAATAAAAAATTATTATTATTATTATTATTATTATTATTATTATTATTATTATTATTATTGTGAAGCCTGTCAGGCCCTGCCCCAAGCCAGGTGGAAAGAGGCAAGGGCAGGGCCCTTCAGGCCCCCAGCAGGCGGCCCTCAGCAGGCAATACCCGAATGTAAGCCGCTTGCTTAAAATTCCACAGGCATTCACACCCGTAAATGGCAAATGTAGAAGAAAATCCTACGGGTACTAGAGAGGACCTGCAAGTGGGTTAAACACCTGTTTGTAGCACCATAAATGCAAATAAAAAATCACTACTGCACTGTAAAATATGGGGAAAGCAATGAATGACATTAGACTTAATTGCACAACCATCCCAAGCTCGCAAATTGACAATAAAACAATTCTTTTGTTCCGTTTTACCGTGTGTCTGTTTCAGCAGCGATATCGTAAAAGCCAATTTTTGTAAGGTCACGAATTTAGGCCGCACTTTAACTTCTCACGGTCAGAATTTTGGGGGAAAAGTGTGGCTTATATTCAAGCCAATACGGTACTTGTTGCCTGCATTGCATCCTCACTTTGCCATCCAGTCGGAGCTCTTCTGGGCAGTGTGGGGCTTCTTACAGTCCGGCCCAAAGGAGGTGGTAGAATTGATGGTAGCTCACTGTACACTTCTTTGCAAAGCACTTTGAGGAAATAATCACTTGCCTCCACCGGGATTGTGGCTCCGCTATGATAGCAGATTAATCTCAAGGGGTGTCCAGAGCACTGTCTAGTCCTGTTGTGCTGGATGAATTTTAGTTAGTAAGGCTTGAGGGTGTGGACAAGTCAGTATCCAAATTTAATAAAATAAATGAACAAATTAATTCTTCAAGCAATAACAGTAAATGTGAGCCCACAGTTCCGATCTTTAGCTGGTTTTGATATATACCATTTTTGTGAATGCAAGTGTGCCTGGCATGTTTCTGTGGGCTAGCTTTCAAATAAAATGCTTTTATAATGAAGGAATTAAAATGGTTATTTTGTTGAAAATGTTTGCTTTTTTCTTTTGCTTTTTGTCTGACCAGACTAAGGTTGCTCATTATTTTCATGCTGAGTCAACAATATACGGCAGTTAAGAGAATTCTGGAGCAGGGCATGGGAGTAATGACAAAATCTTCTTATTTTCTCAGGTGATTCTGTCATATAATAGTGAATTCTGTCCTTCTTGGTATAATGAAGACACCACTGATGATGTGCTCGTTTCTATCAATATGACACAAGTAAGCTGAGATCTCGTAATTGTCAGGATTGTGTCTGCTTACAACAAACCCTTTAAGCGTTGATTAAATCTATGATCGTGTAAGCAACTGGAGATTGTAGAGCTTTTTTAAAAAGAGAGAGAGAGAGATAAAAGCTGTGTAGAAACAAAGAGTGGGAAAACTATTTGTAACGGGTCTCTGGTTGTTTACCCACTTTGTTCAGAATATTTTTAAAAAGCTAAACTACACCCCACACTTTGCAGTGCTTTGTGCACAAATGAGTTTTCAGTTCATTGCTTGCCTTGCTATTTTGAAATCAGTTCAAATCTGAAATACAGGCTTTTTGGTAATGGAGTGCAATTTCCATCTGAAACTTGTTTTTTGCATTATTTTAATTTTTGCCATTTGTATTTTTTTTCTTGTCTTTTTCAACCAACAGTCAACAAGAGAACACTAAAACACAGACTTCTTTTTGCAGAATCCTGGTATGTATCTAAGATAAAAGGCTCTTGCTTGAAGGTTAATTAATTGTGGCCATTAAACGTAAGTGGAAACATTCTAATGAGATAAAAGCAGGCTGCAGCATTGTTTTCCTACCTCACATTGCAGAATTGAAAGGAAATTGCCCAGCTAAATGATCTCATTTTCAACTCTGTTTGTTCTGATAATTTATTGAATGTTTTGCCTAGCTACAGGGAAAATGTAGGAAATTATAGGAATCAATAGACATTACAGATGAAATTAAAAGGTCATATCTGGAAGACCACTTCTGGTATACTTGAATAGAAGGAGGGCTGTGGAAATCAAGGTTTGAATTTTTGCTCAGCCATGAACTTCAAACAGATAGCCTTTTGCATTTCCCACTGAGCATGGTTAACGGGACTGAAGTTAAAAGAGCATGCTGGGAAGGGGGCTTTTCCCTGACAAACAACTCAAAGCTTCTCTCTGGACACAGCTTTTTTAAATGTAGGTCTAACTTGTACGGCATATTTCTATTTGCAACTTAAGCAACTTTTAAAACTGACTCCCGACCCAACCTACCTAACAGAAATGTCCAAACAATCAATACAGGCCATTCCCATTTTGTTTTTCCTGTAGGAGGCATATGTTAGAATGGCATGAAGAGAATGAAAAGGGGAGGAGGCAAAGAAGCAGTTAAAAAGCACCAGCTTATGTTAAATGTTATTGAAAAAGGATGCTGTGGGATTTTTACAATGAAGAGCAGTATATTAATGTTTTATACAAAATTGTAAAATATTTGTACAGATCCCCCAATAAAACTGAAATAAATAACATCCCATTGAACAAATTAGACATGTCACCCAGTCCTGTCTGAATAAAAATGCCTGGTGTTCACACTATGCGTGACACAAAATATGTCACTTCAAGTGCTATTTCCCTCCCACACTCTAAATAGCAGGTCCCAGGAAGACACAATCAGGATGGGGACCATGACACATATGGGGAAGCCCTTTCATCCCCTGTCATGGTCTAGAGGAAGTTATCCCTCCTGCCCATCCCCCACCAAGCAGCTATTAGCCCTGGAAGGGAAGCTAGCAATGAACTCTCTCTTCTTGGGAACAAAAGGCATCTCAGGAAGCAGGATTTTCATAAGGGCTGTACTGAGCACAAAAAAGAGTTAACCCCACCCCTTTCTTGCATGCCACTGTCCCAATCCTGATTGACCTACATTGGCTCCCAGTATGTTTCCGAGGACAATTCAAAGTGTTGGTGCTGACCTTTAAAGCCCTAAACGGCCTCGGCCCTGTATACCTGAAGGAGCGTCTCCACCCCATCATGAGGTCCAGCACCGAGGGCCTTCTGGCGCTTCCCTCACTGTGAGAAGCGAAACCACAGGGAATCAGGCAGAGGGCCTTCTCTGTAGTGGCGCCCGCCCTGTGGAACGTCCTCCCATCAGATGTGAACGAAATGAACAACTATATGACATTTAGAAGACATCTGAAGGCAGCCCTGTTTAGGGAAGTTTTTAATGACTGATGTTTTAATGTATTTTTAATCTTTTGTTGGAAGCCGCCCAGAGTAGCTGGAAAAACCCAGCCAGATGGGCGGCGTATAAATAATAAAATATTATTATTATTATTATTATTATTATTATTATTATTATTAATTTTTATTGCACTGGCACCTGCCATTTAGAGTTGGGGTAGGGAGGAAGAATAATGAAATTTGGAAAGGATGGGTTCAGTGTCACAGGCCATTTGGCACATGGTCATTCTTGCTTCCCAGCAACTCCAGATACCAGTTACATCATTGCCAGGAAACAATATTTTACCAATATTTGGAGTGTGTGGTAGGACCACACTGTCCAAGCAGATTAGTGATGGCTGGGCAGGCTGCCTGAGGAACAGACAAAACCCAGAGAGCAAGAGCAGAGAGTACCACTTAATAATGACATCCACAAGAATCTCTGGATATTTTCCAGCATCTCTCTCTCCCCCCCCCCCGCCCCAACGTCAAAGCTATAGTGGGGATTATCACATTGTGGAGTTTCATGTTTCTCTTCTGAAGTACAGAGTGTGCCTACATTACCAGCTATTTTATTTGCATTTGGAAGAAGAGATTCCTGGCAGGCCCCAAACCCACTTGGAAATGGACGAGTCACAAAACTGTTGATATATATGTGTAGCTTGTAAGGGCCATTTCAAACTACGTACAACCCCGGGTGTTTTCACCCAGGTTTATAGTAGCATTCAGGTAGAATGTGAGGAAGAGCCCCAAAATCTGGAGGCAGTATGCTTCTGAATATCAGTTGAGAGCCAGTGTGGTGTAGTGGTTAAGAGCAATAGACTCGTAATCTGGTGAACCGGGTTCGTGTCCCTGCTTCTCCACATGCAGCTGCTGGGTGACCTTGGGCTAGTCACACTTCTTTGAAGTCTCTCAGCCCCACTCACCACACAGAGTGTTTGTTTTGGGGTGGAAGAGAAAGGAGAATGTTAGCCGCTTTGAGACTCCTTAAAGGGAGTGAAAGGCAGGATATCAAATCCAAACTCTTCTTGCTATAAGATGCAGGAGAAAAGAATGCTGTTGGGCTCAGTTCCTGCTTGCAGGCTTCCCATAGGCATTGTCTGGCCACTATCAGAATAGGATGCTGGAATAAATAGGCCATTGGCCTGATCCAGCAAGCTCTTATGTTCTTATGTATAGTATAGTAACACAACATGGAGTCATAGCAAATCATTACTCCCCAGCTTGGTGCATGTGCCCAAATTCTTGGGACATGAATATCCCCTTAATGTTCATGGTAAGTTCCACTGGATCACTGCTGTAGAAACTATGGGCCGACCTATAAACTATGAAGCAAATAACTTCTTATTTTCTCCTTCCTCATGTAGGGATGGACATAACTACTGAAGTCCATTGCATCTCAATTCCCGGAGATCTGTCCCATCCTGTTTCCAGGCAGATTTTAAAGCGCAAATTCATAAAAATCCATCTACAAACACTAAAGGTAAATTTTAAACAACTTACAAGGTGATCCAAAGGTTACACACTTTATCCATCCTGCCCCCCCTCCAAATAAAAATAATTTCCTTTTAAACCTTCTGAAAGGATGTATCCAACCACTGCCAACCCGAGTAGCTAGGATACAAGGACTTTTGCTTGAATGAGCACGCCTTGACTGAACATAGAACAAGTTACCGTACCTTGGGAGCAACAGGGCTTGATGGCATGCCATCACTCCCAGAAAAACATGGCTGTCCCCAGGAATCCAAATAGCCTGGCCAGGGATCTTTCTTGATCTCTCTTCCTATTACTAAAATGCTAAGGATCCCGAAAAAATCAAGTTGATATTTTTGCTTGTCTTCATTTGTATCCTTCCCCTCCATGAACTAAAAAGGTAGGTCATAAATGCTAGCAAGTTTCTTCCACTCTCTGTCCACTTGGACCCAAACAGACAGAAGGGAATGCTTGGCTTCAAGCAAAGATGGAGAAAATTGACTCCTGTGAGGATAATTCCTCTTCGCTGAAACTGTTCAAATGTTCTAACTTCTAATTGCTTTCTTGAATGTAAATGGGTTGATTTCTCTACACTTGGGTACTATAAACTTAATGATGATGGACAAGTGAAGCTCATGAAACCATACATTAAACAGCATTCTGTGGTTTCTCCCTTTGTGTTTATTTGAACTCAAAAAAGTCAGGCTGTGAATGAACATGAGGAGTGAGCGTGGGTACAGGTTGCTTAAACCTCTACCCTCCTGTCATTTTCCTAGCTCAAAACCACCCTCCCAAAGCTGGTTTATCAATCACAGCTGGAAAGAGCCATGAAAATGACATGGATCCCACATGTTTAATTCACCAAGCACCTGGCCACATTAAAAAAAAAAATGTCCAAGCATTTAACAGCATTTGATTAACTTTGCACTACCTCCCGTTGTGCTGTGTTTTATGTTATTTTTAATCATACTGTGTTTATAGGCTTCTATTTTTAGGCTGTTTTATTTTTATGACAATGTTGTTTCAAAGAACAAATTGTATGCTGCCTTGTGGACCACACCATTGGAAGGTGGGGGCTAAAATATTTAAAGGCTGCAATATTACGTGCACACTTACCTGGAAGGGAATGTTGTTGAACTTCTGAGTAGACATGCAAAGAATTACACTGGAAATGAATAATCAAATTAATACACATGTGAACTCACTCCACTGAAAAGTGTTATGTGATGACTGCAAAGGCATTTGAGCATCCAGGTCATGCTGTTGAGAGTTAGGACCTGTTGAGAGTTGCAACCCCTGGGCCAGGTGCCACCAGGTGGTTAGCACCCTCACCCCAAGGACCTCACAATCCACCAAATGTGCCACGCTACTGTGAGCTCCAAACAAACCACAAGCTGTAATCAAGGTTTGTCTTGGTTTACAGTTTATGGTTTGTCTGGAAGAAATAAACCATGAGTCTGCGTATGGACAGCATGCTAAGACAAACCATGGCTTAGATCAGGGGTCAGCAACCTTTTTCAGCCATGGGCCGGTCCACCGTCCCTCAGACCATGTGGTGGGCTGGACTATATTTTGAAGGGGAAAAAATATGAACAAATTCCTATGCCCCACAAATAACCCAGAGATGCATTTTAAATAAAAGGACACATTCTACTCATGTAAAAACACGTTGATTACCAGACCGTCTGTGGGCCGGATTGAGAAGGCAGTTGGGCTGCATCCGGCCCCCGGGTCTTAGGTTGCCTACCTCTGGCTTAGATCACAGAAGTGCAGCAAGAGCTGATCAGAGGAGGAGGCAAGTGGCCATGATCTGTCTGGAAGACCACATGCTCGTACATTTGTACTAAACCATGGTTTGGCTTATTGTTAGGCGTGAACAGAGTCACTGTGTTCAATGGGGCTTTCTCCCATGGAAGTATGCATGTGATTGAAGTCCTTAAGTTGTTGTGATTAACTGATCTTTGCTCACTCTATTGAATCAAATTCTATGTGCAGAAGGATTAGGAAGAGGTTTTTTCAACACTTCTTCCCATGATCAATTAAAGGTAAAGGTAAAGGTACCCCTGCCCGTACGGGCCAGTCTTGACAGACTCTAGGGTTGTGCGCCCATCTCACTCTATAGGCCGGGGGCCAGCGCTGTCCGCAGACACTTCCAGGTCACGTGGCCAGCGTGACAAGCTGCATCTGGCGAGCCAGCGCAGCACACGGAACGCCGTTTACCTTCCTGCTAGTAAGCGGTCCCTATTTATCTACTTGCACCCAGGGGTGCTTTCGAACTGCTAGGTTGGCAGGCGCTGGGACCGAGCAACGGGAGCGCACCCCGCCGCGGGGATTCGAACCGCCGACCTTTCGATCGGCAAGTCCTAGGCACTGAGGCTTTAACCCACAGCTCCACCCGCATCCCTACCATGATCAATTACTCAGTAACAAAAGGTTTCCACCCATGCATCTTTTCATTCTGAAATGTAACAAATTGTTTTAACCATATCTCTCTCTCTCTCTCTCTCTCTCTCTCTCTCTCTCTGTGTGTGTGTGTGTGTGTGTGAGTGTTATGTTAAATATGGTATTTTCCCAGATAATCAGTTTAAATTCATCATTAATCGTCCTCAAGAGATGGGAATAAATCAATTTCTCTTTTTATTGTATTTTTCATTAATTTTAGACGATCTGTTGTGTGTGTATGATGTGTGAATAACAACTCTGTAAAAATCTGCTGGTCATTAAAAAAACCAAATATTAGGGAAATGAATAACCATTCATTGCAGATAAAGTAATAAAATGAAAACTATATTTCCAGCAGATCAGAGCCCAAGGTTTGCTCAAAATCCGCATTCAGAAACCGCGTTCAGAAATGCGTTCCAGTAGTATCAAGTCCTCTTTGGTATCCACAGTATTGCCTAATCAAATACAGTAAAATGCTTTCACACAAGGGATCTCAAATGAAGATTTACCAACATGAAGCAGAGAAGAAGACAGCTGTGTTTTTATTGTGGTTATAATGATCCAATTTCATGACCACATTATAGCCTAACTTTCTATAAAGGGAACGGAAGAGTCCTCGTGTGGAGTCTGCAATCATTCAAAAAGAACATCCGCTGATTCAAGTGTGGAAGTGAGGATAATGTCAAGGGGGGAGATAAATGATGGGAGCAAACCAGAAATGGCAGGAGAGAGTAACAGTTATGGAGCAGAGGTAAGAGAATGGAACTCAGAGTAATCAGCAATACGTAGGAATCTACACGTTGGTAATGGACAGAGGTGTGATTGGGGCAGATGTCCAGGGTCCCATTTTGCAGAATATGCAAGAGCTCCCTCCAGCGCAGCAGGGCTGGCTTGCCACTCTGAAAGTAAGTGAAGTAATGCACATTGCTATATAATAAGAAGGGAGCATAATAAAACCATGAAGTCCAATGTTTAAAATGGCCTAACTGCTTCACTGGCAATGAGAAGTAGTACAGTAGCAGGATAGCTAGGCAGATTTCAGAGGAAGGAAACCGAAAGTCAATGGTAGGGCTTTAACACAGTAGTTAAGGATGATAAGGAAGCATTTGAATGGCTATATAAATATAACAATCAATAAAGGAGAGGAAGGAGTTAATGGAACTGAACCCAAGGGAGAAATGATATGGGATATACACTAGAAGTCAAATCAGGGCCCTTCACTGCAGTGTAAACATGGGTATTGCTGGTTTCCAGGTGATCAAAAAGAGGATCAGAAAAGGGCATCGACCTAACCTGGAACATCAAGGAGGACTTTGATAAGCTTGTGACCCTGTACCCAAACTTTACCATAATTTGGTCCCAGCTGCTGGAGAGACGTTGTTGGTGTGGTTGCCCTGACCCAGTTGCCATTAATAGAGCCAGAAAGAAGGCAATCCGCGCAGTTGTGCAAAAAGTGCAACAGTTGATACGTCACCCTGCCATCACCTTTGAGTAAGAGGCCTTGTTTTGCGGTGATGGGGTGCACCTTTCCGACGTTGGCAATGATATCTGGTTGAATGACATTTCAGAATGCATCAGGGATTGGTTGCAGGTGTGAGGGTATTGGTGGTGAGCCATTTGGTGTTGAGTGGCGGTTAGGCATTGGGTAAGCTTTTGTTTGGATGGAGGGGAGGTTGTAGCCTTCACCTGCCCCTCCTCAGTAAGGGTATCCTGTTAAAGGGATCTGGGGCCTCCGGCCATGTCACAACCCCAACGGAGACCCCTTGGGGGGTCCCTATTTGATGTAAGTCCTAGAGTCCTATTGGTGGTTTACCCTATCGTGTTTTTAATATTCTGTTGAGAGCTGTCCAGAGTGGCTGGGGAAACCCAGCCAGATTTAGACTCCCTGCAGACAGGTGGGAGTCATAGCCTGGCTTCATCCAATGCCTAAGCCAAACTGCTCACATCTGCAAACAATAAAGTTGTAGTCTATCTGAACACATAAACCAAAATAATTGTGTCCATGTTCCATAGGGGAACTGTGGGTCACGGGGCCTTGGCACACAAGTGCACGACAGGCACACACACATTTCGTCTGTTTGTGGTAACTAGTTGTTTAATAAGGGTCACCATGAATATTTTCCCTTGATAAAGATTCTGTTGTAACATGCTGATCCTTGCAGGTGTCAAGTGTGTGCATTTGTGTACACAGGAACACAGAATGCTGTCTGACCATTGGTCCATCTAGTTCAGTGTTGTCTAAACTGACGGGCAGCAGCTGTCCAGGCTTATTGAGGATGGGGAAATTCCTAGCTCAGCTGGAGATGCCAGGGATGGAACCTGGGATACTTACCCAAATATAGTGTTGGATTGTCCACTTGCTGCGCTAATTTGCTGGTGCAGGTTAGCGGCTGGGGAAACCCAGCCAGATTTAGACTCCCTGCAGACAGGTGGGAGTTAGAGAGAAAGGCCCATCTCCACAACCCATAGGATACATGGGGTCCTTCTAGACAGGCAGCTATCAAGATCAGCACAAGATATAGCTAGATAGCTATAGCTACAGTCTTGCTCCAGTTGGGAGCACAGCATCTAATCCTGTCTTTTTTGGCTACCATGCAGTAGAACATAGGAATGGGCTATAGGCACCTACTTATTTAGTTTGTTCCATACAGATGATAAAAAGTAATTGGCCAGCATTTTTCTGTTGTTTTTAAAAATAATAATACTAACAGAGCTTTTCTTGAGAGCAGAATATGAGACAAGCTAAGCTAAACTCAGTCCTTTGACTTCCATTCAACCATGGCATTGTGAATATTTCATATGAACACCGCAAGAATAGATGTGTGCCTCTTTCCTCCCCCAGCCCAGCCCATCTCTTCTTGCTTAACCACTATTTCGGCCAAGCCTGCGCTGATTCTGCTTTCCTGTCCTTCATCCAGCTCTTCCATTAGCCACAATGAGAA